GTTGGTGTGCGTTAAACTGATATTTATAGTTGACATTTGGTGCCGTGAGCGGCGCTCGTATTTAATTGTTGTTAATTTTTATTCATTGCCGCATATTCTTGTTTTATGTAGGTATACCTATCTATGTAGGAGTTGCAATTAAAATTGTTTGTTACAGTGGAACTTGTTTGTATGTAATTTTAATAAAATGCACGTAGATCAAGAGATACATAATATATCTGACTACTTATGGCTACTGCTAACATTTATGCTAAAATAGACGTCGAAAAATCTAACAACTAAAAGGCCCTAAATGTAAAGTTGTTAAATGACTATTTTAGATAGTCATTTTTTTTACAGAAAATCGCGATTCTGATACTATTGCGCCACTTTTACTTTTGAACTTTGAAATAATGTAGAAGGCAGGGCGGCAAAAATTGGCATTAGTTTAGAATTTCACAACAAAAGATTACGACTTGTGGACGAATTCTTTTTTTGTAATAGGTACCCAGGGACGGGACGAAAACACGCCTGTCCATAGCAATTGCAAATCCACTCAGACCTTTAAATCGCAGACAGCCACTGACATAAGTTGACAAGTCCCATGTGCCTATAATTTCACCAGCACCCTTACCATTCAAAATCGGAGCGCAGTAATATTCACATACTGCTTGGCACCGGAAACACGTAAAGTTTTTCCCTAGAAGAGCTCTACTAACTACTAAAATGTGTGTAAGAAAAACAAGGAACCTGCTTGTCGGTTTACTATCGGATACATTTCGGGGAGTGTGCGAAGAACTGTTACCTACTAACAACCATGACTAGATATAAATAATAAAATAAATAAATATAAACTTGAAATAATTTTACAGTACTTTTAATAAATTCATAATCCATAGCGGCAATGTTTATTAAATTAAAATTAAACATTAAAAAATATTTATAAAAAGTCGGCAAACGTTTTCGAGGATTATTTCATTATAATTTTGCTACGTTCTATTATGTAGGTATGAATTATGACACAAAAAATGTCCAAAAAGTTTTCACAACGCACGTCCTTGTTACATTCACACATCTTTTCTTTGCAAATACCAACCACGCCTTTTTTATAATATCAAGTAATGGGACGAACAAGACGTGCGTCTGGTGGTAAGCGACACGTCTGTCCCTAACAGTTGCCTTGCCACTCAGAGTCTTAAATCCTAAAGATCTTAGGGGCACTGCCACTGCGCACGTCACCCTGAGACTTAAGTTAACAAGTCCCATGTGCCTATAATTTCACCATTGCATGTGATTATTATGTCAGTCGCGGGCTAAATATTGGGTGGTCTTGGCCATTACACGTTTTCTACATAATAATTATTTATTTTTCATGCCAAATAACGGTCAACTTTGGCAAGAAAACCACGCTTAATTACCTATGCGGCAGTACCACAATCGAATTGTAATTTTCACCCAACTACGACAGCTCAAATGAGGGTAGTATGTGTCTCGCTTATACATATAAGTGGAAGGGGCAATGACTTGACACCATATTTTTAGAACTTTTTATATATGCTGTCCCCGCAGTTATTGTGATGTTATCTGTGAGATCTGAGGGTTTCTTAAATTTTAAACTAAATTTTACAGTACAGTCATAAGTTCTCCATAGGAAAAAAAACTATTTCTTCAGGTTGAATATGCGTATTTTTGTACTTCAAACAATCCAACGTTTCGGGCGCTTACAGGTCCCATGGCCGCGACTGGTTTGTAGAAAAAAACAATTATACGCGATTTAGAACTGAGAAAATAGTTTCTTTTATATCTATGTGTAACAATCGGGAAATCCAAAGAACTCTATACAGAGGTTCTACTGTCAAAACTAAAGTCAAAATGTTGTCTATAAATTGTAAATTCATTTTATCTACTGCCACTCCAACTGTCTGTATATTTGATAAAAATGAACGTACACTACCTGCTTGGTTATAGTCTAAGTTTACCTAAGTAGCTATTTACTGTAGTTTATACACTAGTTTCACAGCATCCAAATCATAGTAAAAGATCGCCGTTTACGCTTACCGTTATTTTTTTTACAAAATCTGTCAATATAATTTTTAATAACTCTAAAAATTTAATATAAGCAGAACGGAACGCATAAAACATCATCCAGTTGTCAAAAATTTTATTCAGGGACCTGTAACCTAAAAAGGGCGTTACTGACACTGGCCCAGGCCTAATTAGTGGCCGCCATTAAGGAAAAATAGAACTTAAAAAGGACGTTCTCAATTAAACAACAAACACAAGCAAAATTAAGATCTGATTATTTGACTTAGTATACATATTTCGTCCTCAAGAATTGGCAAAGCGTTTATATGAATTATTCAAGAAAAAATAAAATCTAAGATCTGGCAGTATGGTTCAGGCGCCTTCTGCCTTCCACTAATTAAAACGCGGCTAAGTGACAAATGGTTAAATATCCGTTTTATGTAGAAAAAGATAGAGCAAAAAATTATCTTTTAAAAACAATTAAAAGGAGTTAACGTTTTCGACTTATCGGAACTTACCCTAACAATGCATAGCTGTAATATCATTAAACAATTTCAATATTCTGAAACTGGGTTACCGTTTCTTATGATATCTCAAAAAAGTATTTTGTCACTTAGTAGCCGGTCCCGAAAGACTAAAATTGTACTACTACAACAGGGTCTCAATTAATGATTTTATTAAATTCACCTTTGGAGAACTGTGACTTGAAGAAAATACCTACTCGAACTTATCTTACAACTTAAAAATGACATTCCCACTCTACAATAAATACAAGTTGACTCAAGATCTTGTAATTTACCTTAAAATATATATATATCACAGTGTAGACTTGACTTTGCCCTTAATATGAAAAAAATAGAAGTGCATTTATTATGTAATAATTGTAATTTACTTCATACTTAACAATTAAGTTCATAGACCATTGTACAATGGTCTATAAGAACGAGTTTCTGTAGCTAAAACGGTTCAGCCAGCTGGCCTACTGTCCTGTCGTAAATTTTCACCCCGTATACGTAGTAAGTCCGAATCACTGTATTATTGTTAGCAAGTTTGACCACCCGTAAGTTAGTTATAAGTACGACGGTTTAACGACACATTGCGTGCGACCCCACGTTGACGATAAATTAGCAATTCAAACAAATTTAGCTTAATAACGGCTAAACTTAGTACGATCGTACAGCTATAATTAATGCTTTCCTTAACGCAATGCCAGAACGGGCAAAGGCTAATGAGGTCAGCGTAATGAACGTGAAAACGCACAAATTGAATTTAAACGTGAATTCCTTACTGCCAATGCCGACGGTGCTAATTTTAATACTTTTTTAATATATAGGTAGTCTTTTTCGTGGTAAAAAAACCGTAAAAAGTTATTTTGCATTAAATTATATCTAGACAATTAAATGTTTGAAAGATAACGAAATTCGGCATGATAAAATTAGAAAAGATTTATAAAACTTTGAAAACATGAAGAACCTACAGCTCTATTTTCTTTAGATAACAACTAATCTTCCAAAAGTGACGAGTACTGGCATCTTTGAACAGTTTTAGGAACTAATACAACTATCATCGTACCATGCAACAATATTGGCACCTTAGTGGAAATGTTTGCTTGCTTCACAAATTCACAAAGGATTTATCTAACATCTCGTGTCTTCTATAAACTCTAAATTCTGAATGCAAAATCATCGTTGACGGAGCGGAGAATTATTAATTTTTGGCTGGAAATTTAACACAAATGAGCAACATTAAGCGCGGGAATACACGTCCGATTTCGTGTCTGATGGTCGGATCCGACTATCGGATCGGATTCACTCAATACACGTCCAATAGGCGTCAGATTCTTTCGTCAGACTTTTTCTGAACTAGCTGCAGTGTTGCCAATTTATGGGGAATTCCCCAAATGCAGGGAATTTCAACTCAAGAACTCGTTTGGGAATTTTGTTTGGACTACGCCATGTGGGGAAAATGCCTTCGCATTCTAGAATTTTAGCATATTTTTGTTACATTGGAGATTACTGATTAAAACACTATTTATTTGTTTGTTTATGAACGATATTGATATTCTTTTCAACGTCACACATGCGCTGCTTATATAGGAACGTTTATATATAATTATTACTAAAACGCTTATATGTAATAAAATTATCCAGTAGGATTAGAATCATTTTATCTTGTATTGTAAAATTACTACTATTACCAGTCACCGACAAGAGCCTGGCTCTTAAATAGGTTGATGATGACCACTCGGTGCATATTGCGCGCGACCCTTTTTCGCGTTTTGACCGGTCCCCGGTGTGTAAAAAGAATACAGCAGTTGCAGTAGGTAGTTTAAAGGACTATCCACACACACCAGAGCCGTGCCCGAGACGGTCCCCTGCCCGGACACGGACATGAGTGAACGAGTTCATACAAAATATACGCAACGATATTTTTTTGAGCCCCTGACAGAGCACGGTCGGTCCACGTCCCGGGAATGTGTGGATAGGCCCTAATACCACAACTTGCCACTCGTCAAGCTTGTTGAGTTTATTTCCAATCATAGCATAACATATATGTATAGATGGGTACATTTGACTGTCTTAATTATTTGATATATTTTTAAGCGTAGCAATAATAATATAATAATATTATTACATGTGGGAAATATGACCTTTGCTCTTCCCAAATATAAATAAACCTTGATTTTTGGGGGTTTTGAACAATTTGCGTTGGCGACGCTGAAAATCGGACGAAAGAATCGGACGTGTATGTCTCCCCGCAAAAGTATAGAAAGCACGCCTTCAGACAATCGGACCGGTAATAAAATCGGATGCTATTTCCGACTCGGACGTGGTTGGACATAATCCGATCCGAGCTCCTTCCAGTAGTCGGATCAGACTATCGGATGGAAAAATCGGGCGTGTATTCCCGCACTAAATGCCAACTGTCAAACTATCAATGTCAATTGAAAATGACGTTTCACTGGTGATAAAAATTTGATAACTATTATAATCCACATTTTATCAATGAAATCATAAAAAGTACACAAAAATAATGGTGTCAGTCGATTCCAACGGTGACCCTTGATAATAGCATCTATGCCTAGGAGCGTAAAATTTATGGGTTATCGAATAACGTGTGCAAAATGTCTGACAATATGTTTAGGCTTAACGTTCTTAGCCGGTTGCTATTTAGCTATTTTACCGATACAATCCGGTGAGTACATTAGTTTATTGCAAGTGTAAACGAAATTAATCAAATTTAAAAGAGTAATCGTATGAATGAAATGTGTTCTATTTTCCAGAGAAATTGACGTTACCAAAACACGTTAGATACGAAATTACTTCGAAAATACAAGAAAAACATCGCCTAGCAATCATTGTACCGTTCCGCGACCGCTTCGAAGAGCTCCTACACTTCGTTCCGCACATGTTCAAATTTTTAAACCGCCAAAATGTACCATTTCACATATTCGTTATTCAACAAGCGGACGTTAATAGATTTAACCGGGCCTCCTTAATAAATGTTGGTTTTCTATATACTAAGAAGGACTATGACTACATAGTGATGCACGACGTAGATTTATTACCATTAAATGATAATTTAAAGTATGAATATCCTGCATTTGGTCCCTTACATATATCATCACCTGAAACCCATCCAAAGTATCACTATTCAACTTTTATTGGAGGAATTTTAATAGTTAAGAGGGAACACTTTGAAATGGTTAAAGGAATGTCTAATAATTACTGGGGATGGGGCCTGGAAGATGATGAGTTCTACGTCAGGCTGAAAGATGCAGAGTTGACTGTGCGGAGACCGGAGAATATTACCACAGGCACGGAGAATACTTTTAAGTTAGTATCCTTCAATGTTCTATATTATTTACATTAGTAGCAGTAGAACTACTTGTAAAAGACTTTGTCCAGGGAATTACTGCCACCTTACCTTTTTCTGTCGTGTGAGCATTATTGTATCCTGGTTTTACTTATTTATTTATTAAAGGTGCTGATGAAATAACAAGCACATGGAAATTGTCACTTTATGTCTAAGGGGGCAGTGGCAGTGCCCCTTATCTTTGCAATTTAAATCTCTGATGTCCACTTGCACTAAACCTAGGTACGTCTTAAACCAATAATTGCAATGCAAAAGACACTCTTAATACATTGTGTTAAGAGTGTTATCAATTTAAGCATTGGTTTAAGACATACTTAAGTTTAGTGCAAGTGGACATGAGTGTCACAGTTATGGACAGGTGTGTTGCTTAGCCCCAGGTTGCACCAGGCCCACAACGTGTTCTTTCCCTCACCAAAGAAAATTTTATTTATGCATGTATTAATGAAACGAAAAATAATATACAAGAACGGCTTAATTACTGGAATTATGGCTGAATTAAATTAATGTAGTGGGTTCCACACATCAAGTATATAACCAGAAATAGAGACGAAATAAGGGCCATATATTCCTGGTAACGCATTAGCGATACAGCTCTTATAAATATCAACTCTCGTTTGCATTGAAATATAGACAGGCCAACTACTGACCTGTGTGTACATCTCCGTATATTCCAAAAAATATTCTGTATTATTGTAATAAAGATAATATCTCTAACAATGCCGTGTTGTTCCATTCAGTAGTGTGGGGAAAAACAGCAAAACATCTAATTACAAAACAAACGGAATCACATTTCTTCTATAATTAAATATTAAATTTTGCAATTTTCGTCCATTATAGCAAAGCTCAAGTTAACTGGTCGATTTGAAGTGAAACAGTTGACGACACCCGTTAATTGTTCCGAACTCGGGCTAGCCAATCGGAGCGCAGTTGTCACAGTAATGATATGGCAGAATAGTTTTCAGACAAATTAAATGACGTTTCGTCTCTATTTCTGAGCCACGTAAAATGCTGGCAGCATTCCACTGTACACTTAGTATATCTCTTTGATAATATACCATTGAGTGTACAACTAGCACAGTGATAACAAAATTCACAACTTTAAATTGTGAGTTAAAAGTTAACATTCCCTTTGATTACATACAACTGTTAAATTTTAACAAAATTAAAAGGATAATAACTGAATGGAAACTGTGTCTTTACCGAGTCGAGGCGCATAACTGCGATTCGCAACTGGCCGATCGGAAACTTTTGACATATCAAATCGTAACAATAGTTGATTTAACTCACAAATTAGAAATATATAGTAGGAATCAGGTTCATCTTCTCGCTCGGAAACCCATTTGCTTTCGAGACTCGGATGGGCTACCCAGTCGGATCAAATCCGATGTGAATTAAAATCAGCCTGTAGCAATCCTTATGTGTATATATAGTACTAATAAAATCACTACTGTGTGCAGGCCAGAATATAAATTAATTTAGCACCTAAACACTACTCCTTTTACAATTATAAATTTATTTTAAAATGGTGGGTGAAAACAGTTGTGCGTTAGAGACACTGCATGGCTCTAAGGTGCTACAGTATCAAAATCCTTAGGGACGCTGTGTATCTCTTTATCGCGACAAATATTTACGGCAACAAAGCTAAAGTGAATTAACTAACTCACTTTAGCTTTGTCAAACACCTATTTCTAGTCTAGATCTGTGTAAATATCCTTATTGAGCACTTACATCTGCATTTTCTAGGCACATCCACGACAAGACCTACCGGCGGCGCGACATGCGCAATTGTTATAACCAGCGCGACGTCACCAGACGTCGTGACCGCGTCACAGGTCTCCATGACATTAACTATAGGTAAGCATAGACTAACGCATCCTCGGACACACTTCCACTGGGAATTGGACTTGACTTGTACGAGACAAAAGAAAGAAACATTTTTTTTATAATATCAACTGACGGGACGAACGAGTCGTGCGTCTGATGGTAAGCTACACGCCTGTCCATAACAGTTGCAGTGCACTCAGAGCTTTAAATCGCAAAAATCTGAGGGGCACTGCCGCTTCGCCCAACACCCTAAGACATAAGTTGACTAGTCCCATGTGCCTATAATTTTACCAGCACTAATGTTAATCATTACCACAGTAATGCTATCATTATTGCTTGGCGACAGAAATAGGTAAGGCGGCAGAAATAGGTAAGGTGGCAGTACTTCCCTGGACGAACTCGTTCACAACGAGCTTATTCAGTTAATTATAAACATACAATAGAGGATATCAGCGCAATATTGGTGTAACCCACATTTTTTTTTTTTTTACAATATTACTTTAAATGATAAGAGTACAAAATTATTTTATCCGAGTATATGGATGATATTTTCATATATAATAAATCTAATAGTTAAATATTTTGTATACATGAAAATAGCATCCAAACATAAAACAATCACAAACTTTAGCATTTAAATTTATAGAGTAGAAAACGATTAAATGTGGGTTATACCACTTTTGCGCTGATAGCAGTGCTCTTATACTACAAAACAATACAAGTCTAAAAAATATTCATAATGATGTCTGTAACGATCAATTCCTTTTTTTTACGAAAGCCAGATATGAGATTCAGGCATTCTTCCAACTAGGTGTTCATTACATAAACTTCTAACTGATTAATGGATTATTCACACAAAAAGGCTTCCTAATAGTGCGCATGTCTATTCGTAAAGTATTGTAAAATCGTTTAAGATATAAACGAGACCTCCAAAGATCATTTCATTACACCAACATTATATCTTGGTCATTTTCTGTTATTTTTGTAAATGTTTACCTCGACGTTGACATCCGTCCGAAACAATTACTGCCAAATAAGCAATACTTGACCAAATGAAGACGCGTGATGCGAATGAAGCTTCATACTTGACACTTGTCTTTTAATTTTGTCGAATATTACTTATTTGACAGTAATTGTTTCGGACGGATGTCGGACGGAGATCAAGAGTAGACCCCCAGATGTATTGCAACGTCTATGGTCTCCAATGGAATTAATATGTTTTATCTTAGACTATGGAAATTGTTTTTTTTTTTTTTTTTTCAATTCTCTAAGGTACTTACACGATTAAATTCCGAATGTAAAATCAAGTAATGTATGAAAATCGTGAATGTTTAAATCAGTTTATTGTAAACAGCCATATTTATTCACTAATTTATGGTATTATAAAAACAAAAACAAAATAGAACAGGTCCAAAAATTAAATTAGTGTAGTGTTCGTCGGAGGTATCGATAACTTCAGATTTTTTTTACTTTTTCATATCTCCAATCGGCTTATAAAAGCCATAATCATATTTTTTTTTAAATACCGATGGAAGGAAGTTGCTCTTGCGAGCATTTTTGTATGTAGTGGTGTTCACATTCGTTGATCTAATTTTCAGATGAGCAACAATTGTTGCATTCAATCGTTTATTGTCCTGCCTCCCCGAGAGGGCATTGTTTTCCACAGAAGCAAGCAGGGACACCAATGGAATAAAGGCGCCTTCATATTAGACGCTTATAGAAGCGCTGCAGTGGCACCACTGTGTTCATACAATATTTAAAAGCGCAGTTGCAGCGTCACAACCACGCCACTTTTGCAGACTAGATATTATATGAAATCTCTTGATAAATGGATCTATCTCATCGATCTCTAGTTTCTCCCATCAATAATAATGTCGCTTTAATGAATCACATTTTGATATTCCGATATTCTAATTAAAAATTCTCTTTCAGCATTCACAGCGTTCACCGTCTAACAATCGACGATCTGCCTCTCACAGTGGTGAATGTAGAGCTTAAGTGCAACAAGACTATGACACCCTGGTGTCGATGCCCTGAGCCGCAATCAAAACCTGCAGCTAAAAAGACCAAGACGTAATGTGGCCAAGTCATTTCAAAGGAGTCGAGACACAATGTGATTGTAACGTAATACAGCAGTCGTTGTCTGCTTTATTCCGAGACTAATCGCTTTACTTGGCTGACAATAATAATAATAAATTAGATAATTAAAATCTATATAATTTGTTAATTGTAAAATCACATAATAATGGATGTTAGTATATAGTATAAAATAATAATGAGTCGGTCCGAGTTTGAGAGCGCTTTGACTCCTCCCAATCAACTTTATCCAGTGGTTACATGTTCGACTATTACTAAATTTCAGCGGTCCAAAATCTAATATCCCTGTTATTTATAAATGTCTGTAATATTCCCAAAATTTTATTCCTTTCCATCCCAGATATAATTTTACCGCGTACAGTTTCTCTTTTTGCGGCAGTGCAAATACCTAACCGTGAAGCGCTAAAAAACAAATAGGATTCAGTGCCAGTATTACCATTTTCCAGCATTGGATTTTGACATTGACTTAACAATGTGTAATATAAATTAAATGCGAACACTGACATTGATACCCATTTTCACTGATTATTTCATTGTCATCCAAATTGCACGGTTTGCTTGCCATTATGTATTAAATACAAATTAGAATTATCGACTGCAAACTTCTGTTTAATTCTCGCGCTTTACACAATTTTAAGTAAATAATTTCAAGACGTGAAACTTACTTGTCAGTCATGAATTTTACAGTTACTCGGTTATTTCACATGTGACATCGCCTACTTCACATGACTCGCTAATTTTACACCGGATTTAAAAAATCTTTTGTTACTATAAGGGCGCCTTAAAATCACAAGCACTGCAGCGCCACTGTAGCGCTTCTATAAGCGTCTAATTTGAACGCCCTTATTATACTACAATAATAATAATTGAGCAGGTCTCGGTCTGAAAGGTCAGCCTTTTGTTAAAACTGTATGTACGAAACAAATAAATCTTATTTGATAAACTTTTAAGACAAATTCTTATTCGAGTTATTACGCAAAGAAGACGTTAACCGTACGTACCGAAACTCCATTCAAAAATACAAAGGTATTTTTAGTCTAACGATTGCCATCGATTGAGTCTTTCCTTGCTCGAACTGGCGATAATACGAAACTCATGCTATTACTGTTTTATATTACTGTATTTATATTGCTAATATTTCGACTGAAGTACTGGAATTTAAATAAATAAAAAAAATAGTGACCAAGTAGTTTGAAATACTGTACGTAGGTGTCGCTGATAGTCCTTTATATGCAATATACCGTTTATTTTTATTTATTACGTATAACGATGATTTCTATTTTTGTTTTCTTTGCTATAAAATTTGTAAATAATTTTATAAATCGTGAAATGCCATTTGTAAATAAATAAATTATTTATTAGACATTTGAGAAGCTCATATAAACATTAATTACATTTAGTAAATGTTTATGTAGCTAGGTAATATTGAATTGCCAAAGAATATTTGACAAATTGTCAGTTACTCTGGCCACTAGATTTATCTTAAAAGTCATAGTTTATTTTTGTACCGCTTAAATCATATAACGAGCGTGTACGAGTCTACCATAACAATTAAATATAAAGGTGAAACGCAATACTGTGTCTACACTCTAATGTCTACTGTGTCTACATGTATAATACTGAATACTATATAACAATACTAATATATAATACTCTGATACTCGTAGTACAGGGAATTCCGTAATTTCAGATGGGTGTCTGGCACATTATTTATTACTATTATTATATAAATGAACACTAAAATCTTCAGTGTGTTTTGATATTATATGACCGTAAAGGACTAAGGGATGTGCTTGAAAAGTGTACACCGCCCAATTTCAAGGGAAAAGAAGGGAATTCCTTACTTTCTAAGGTTGGTGTAGAAAAAGTTGGGAAGTTAGGGTCCCGAATAGTGCAACCTGATCTACCGCGCCCTGTCACTCGGGCAATGTAATAAAGTAATAACTTAGGAAGCTCACCACGCGCAAACACGGAGAGCAATCGTATCGTGTCTGATTCGCGCAGCCATTTTGTCTTGCTTCGCCATGTCAATGGGAAAAGAAAAAGAAGTTTTGTTGTGCCGGATGTACATGTACAAACACATGTCAATGACATACTTATGGAAGAGAGATCACAAAGACTACGAAGAAGTATGTACGCGCCAAGAGCTTTAAAATTTTACTTGAAATTAAGAACAACAAATACAACACTCGAGTGCGCCATGATAGTAACACGTACAACGTTCGAGTACAGAATGAATTAATATACTTATTAATAATAATAAGCGGCTTGGCCACCTTTGATTCAGAGCCCTAGAAATTGGGTAGTGTAATACGCGTTTAAACAAGATATCGAAAAAGATAGTGGTGGTGGGTTTATTGTTCGCAAAATTGGACACAAAATGCTTGCATATATGATAGAATTTATTATGTTTTTTTGTCCATTACCATTATCAAACCCGATAAATGAAGACGGATAGAATTAGAGTTTGGAATCAGACTAAGAATTATCGTTGTTCCATACGTTCAAAGCCTAATAGTATATGTTATTATAGTGTATTCCAATAAAATTGAGAGTGGACGTAAACAAACCAGTTGGGTTAAAATTCTGGAGAAATCACTTATGGATTTTTATCTTATTTGATTTATATATTTTTATCATATTCTGGATTTATGTCCACTCTAAATTCTATTGTGATACACTATAGTGTATTCCAATAGAATTGTTTGTTTACGTCCACTCTCAATTCTATTGGAATAGACTATATATACATTGCCGATAACATATATACTATTAACTACATTACACTTGAAATCGTCACTTTACGGTCTTTGGTAAGGCAGATTCCCCAGAGAAGAATGATCAAGAAACTAAGGGTTGCTCTTTAAAATTAATATAGAACTTTAAATGTACTTACAGAAACAACCTGAAAGAGTTAAACGGATCACTACCATGGATTTTTGTCAACCAAGTACCTATGCAGAACTTGTATAACATACATCGAGTACTACAATATCAATTACATATAAATATAGGTGATAGTACATTAGTAGGAGCACGAGGACATATTTATCATTTTGATCGTACCAGTAGGAGCATAAGGACATATTGGTCCTCGTGCTTCTACCAGTTGAAACATAGGCAGCGGTCGACTACATACATATACATATATATATCAAACATAACATACTATTTAATGCATAAAGCAAAACTGTTATATTATTATCTGATAATTTACAGTGAATCCAATAATTCTTTGACTTACTATAAAAATTCAAACTATTGGAACCAAGCACCCACTAAACTTTTAGGTTCATTTGTTTATAGTACTTACAGCTGTACTTTTACTAATTTTATTTTTAGCCTGTCATTTAAATAACACTGCCAAATCTACGGCGCCGGCGTTCTATACAATACCTATCTATTCTACATGATACCTAGATATTCTATAGAATTCCTGAATTATACACGTTGCCGTTAACATGTACGTATATTAGTACCAGGAATAAAAATAAACAAAAAATAATTATAAGAAAATAGTGGAGTAATTTCACAAAAATTATTTAATATCATGGTAGTAAAACGTCGCCATATTCAATAAAATCAAGGCTAATAATCATTTCGACACCAGCAACTACACTACGCTAACTCAAATTTTGTCGATTTTACATTTTTAATGCCAAATTATGCACTTAATTTAAATTGAATTCATAAATTTAAAAAAAATACAAAAGTAAAAATCATAAGTATTTTATAATCTATGATAAATAACTTAATAAATCATTATTGTATGTTCAGAAGCCGTATGAAAAGTACAATGTTTAAGCTAGCGTAGTATTAAATGGTGGTGTCGATTTTTTTCTACGGTAGTGTATTTCGAAGTTTTGTAAGTAATTGTAAATAAAAGAACCTTTTTTATTTCTTGTCTTTTATTTTCAATAATTCTGGGAGTTTAGATGGAGGTATTCATATGTGTACAAATAGTAACCATAAAATTGTAATAAATAAATTGTATGATGACGTAATAAAAATATTATCTGACGCTGCCACAGAGACTAGCAAATGTTGTGCTAAGCGTAACTTAGGTAAAAAACCACAAGTGTTAGGGTGGAATAAGCACGTCAGAGATGCACACTGGCAGGCGAGGTCGGAATTTAAACTCTGGGTTTTGTTTGGGAGACCTAAAAGTGGAGGGTGTTATAATAAAATGTGTGAGAGTAGACGCAAATTTAAAGCTAAATTAAATTGGTGCATTAAACATGAAGAACAAATCAAAATGGATATATTAGCTTCTAGTCATAGTAACAAACGTTTTGATAAATTTTGGAAAGATGTAGGCAAATTGAATAGAAGACCGAAGCTGCCCGTGAGTGTCGACGGGATAAGTGAACCCAAAGCTATCGCCAACCGTTTTAAAGACCATTTTAGAGTTACGGCACAGCCCGTGGCTTGCTCTCAATCTGCTCACACAAGCCTTCCGCGTGAGAGTGCGCCGTTGTTGTTGGTCACGGGCTTAGAAGTGCATAAAGTGATCGCGAACATGTCTAGGGGAAAATCCCCTGGACATGATGGGCTCAGTGTGGAGCATTTCAAACATGCTGGGGTTCATTTACCGCGGGTTCTTGCGCTGCTTTTTAATTTATGTATACGACACTCGTACTTACCACCCCATTTAATGAAAACTATTGTTGTACCCATTATAAAGAACAAGACGGGAGATGCGTCGGATACATCCAACTACAGACCTATATCGTTAGCCACCATAACAGCAAAGGTGTTTGATGGTGTGCTTGATAAACACCTGGATAAGCACATGAGATTTCATGATGCGCAGTTTGGATTTAGAGCGGGCTTGTCCACAGAAAGTGCTATTCTGGCTCTCAAGCACACTGTCAGATACTACACTGATAGAAGCACGCCAGTATATGCGTGCTTCTTGGACTTATCTAAAGCGTTCGATTTAGTGTCATATCCCATTCTATGGAATAAATTGGAGGAGACAAATCTCCCGTCGGAGCTCATTGGCATCTTTAGGCACTGGTACGACAACCAGGTTAACTGTGTGCGATGGGCGGACGAACGGTCGGATGAGTACAGGTTGGAGTGTGGGGTGAGACAGGGGGGACTGACGTCTCCCAAGCTCTTCAACCTGTACATGGATAAGTTGATCCGTGGGCTCAGCAGCATGCATGCGGGATGTTCCATTGATGGCATTAACATCAATAACATCAGCTATGCCGACGACATGGTGCTGCTGAGCCCATCGATTAGCGCGCTTAGGATGCTTCTAAAGGTGTGTGAATCCTATGCGCAAACTCATGGATTAAGGTATAATACCAAAAAGAGTGAGATAATGGTTTTCACAGCTGGCAGAGGTACCCCACTGAACGTTCCGCCTGTCATGTTAAACGGGAAAGCTTTGTTGCAAGTCAAGCAATTTAAATACCTAGGCCACATTTTAACCGAAGACCTGAAGGATGACTATGACATCGAGCGTGAGCGTAGGGCGTTGGCGGTACGAAGTAATATGATCACTCGCAGGTTTGCTCTCTGCTCAGAAGCGGTCAAGATTACGCTTTTTAAGGCCTTCTGCCAATCTTTTTATACAAGCAGCCTGTGGGTGACATATACGCAGAAGACCTACAACGCCCTGCGTATTCAGTATAACAACGCGTTCAGGATGCTATTGGGGCTGCCGCGTTCTTGCAGTGCGTCGGGCATGTTTGCCAAGTTGCGGACTGACGGCTTCCATGCGATAATTCGAAAGAAAGTAGCGTCGCTGATGTTCAGAGTGCGCGGCAGCTCCAATGCCATCATGAGGGTGGTGGGGTGTAAGTTCGAGTGTAAAATAGCCTGCCACTGGACGACATTGTTAATTAGTTAAATTTAGTGACAAATGTAATTGATAATATTTAATACTAACATAGACTAAGTTGAAAGCGTACTAACATATTATGGAAATTATTTTCTGAAATAAAAATATTGAATTGAATTGAATTGAATTATACACTCTATGTGCATTACTTGAGGGTTAGGTAAATATATTTCATCTTATTTCGATATCTGGTGATTATACAACAAACCAAACACTTTATGGTTCACAGAAATCAAATGCTCATTTATTATTAAGTACAATCTTAGGTATTCTTACGTACATTTCGTTTTTCGATGTATCTTTGTAAGTCAATTTTTTTTAACAATACACGGTGTAACGAAGAGGTGTAGCCATAAATCTGCCGTCATAACGCGGCTAAGTGACAAAATATTTTTTTGAGATATAAAAAACCATAACCCAGTTTTAGAATATTGAAATCGGTTAATGATATTTCAGCTTTGCATCGTTAGGATTAGTTCCAACAAGTCGAAGACCATAACTAATCTTGACTGTTTTTAAAAGATAATTTTGTGCTGTATTTTGCTATTTAAAACAAATATTTGACCTTTTGTCATTTAGCCACGTTTTAGTTAGTGGTCGGCGGTATTAATTTACAGTAGAAAAATGTTTGTAAAATTAAATTATTTAATCAATTATATTAAACTAGACAATTTAAAATGAAATTGCACAATTTGTTAGTTACACAATCCTACTACAACATTGATGATTTATTACTTGATAACATAAAGTGTAAATTTAACTACCGATTTTTAATTTATTTCTAAAGGCGCCTTCAAATTAGACGCTTATAGAAGCGCTGCAACAGATTTTCATACAATATTTAGAAACGCAATTGCAACGCCACTGTCGTGATACGCGCGCACCACTTTTGCGGTCACAATTAGGGCCAGCAGAGCAGAATACAAAACTTGTCAACATATTATTATATTTTTTAATCCATGATAAATAGCATATATTTTTAACTGCCTCTGTGGCCGAACGGTCACCATACCAGACTGCCACGCAGAGGTCCCAAGTTCGATTCCCGGGCCGGGAGAAATATTTGTATGGCCTACATTTATTTCTCTCTGAGTTTGGGTGTAATTTGTGGTTTGTCTATGTGTGTGTCCATGGTACCCGCGACTCAGGGTTTCCCTAGTGCGGGGCTATGTTTAGTGTGTGTGCGTTATTTTAAGCGATTACAATTGATATAAAGTATAAAATGTAATGCTCTAAGACGCAGAGAGAAATGCGCTCTGAAGTCGGTTCCAAAATTCTATATATAATTTTTTATTCATAATTGATTACGAATAACATACAACATACATTGATAAATTTAATGCTCTCTGCCTTCCCCTCTGCCGGTTTGAGCTGGCCCTTGTGAACTAAATAAAAATAAAAAAATTACTGAAGCGCTACAGACACAGTCGCGCCACTGCAACGCTTCTACCAGCATCTAATTTGAAGGCACCCATTGTTATTGTTTGTTTTTTTATGATATTGTATTAATTTAACTTTTAGTGCATGCTACACCAAAAGTAAAATAAGAAATGTGTAAACTATTCGATTGCCAGGCTTTTATGAAATTTACGATCTAATATCATGTATCATAACACCCACATTGTAAATTACATTTTTCAGCGAATAAATATCTTGTATTCTTAATGTCCAAATGTATAACACCTTATGCCATTTAGTATGGACTAGATGTCATATGTTACACATGTGCAACGATCGAATAAAATCGTAAGACGCGGCGTCTGATAATTTTTTTACCGGCGGCAACGGTGTAAAATCGGCGTGGCATATAGTTTTCAGGTGTTAAAAAAACACTAAAATATTATTTTAATAACCATTTTTATTGATTTGCAACATTTTTTACAGTTTAACTTGAACATAATATTATCACGCTACAAAATATTTGTAAAAAAAGGACATAAAATAAACCTCCTTAATTTAGTAATAGCTCATTGTAAAAGAGTTCGTCCAGGAAGTACTGCTGCCACCTTACCCATTTCTACCGCCAAGCAGTAATGAGAGCATTACTATGTTTCAGTTATAAAGTGTAAAGGTGCTGGTAAAATTACAGGCACATGGGACTTGTCTACTTTGTCTTAGGGTGATGGACGCAGTGGCAGTACCTCTGAGTGGCACTGTAACTGTTATGAGTAGGCGTGTCGCTTACTAACAGGCGCACGATTTGTTCGTTCCATTGCTCGGTATAAAAAAATATCTATATGATAGGACCGTAGACAGGAACGTAATTTTAGTTGCAGGGAAATGTGACATATAGTAAATAATTAAAAGCCGAGACTTCATTAAAATTAAACCAATTTTCACCACATCGATTTTACGCCGGTCAAGTTTGTCGACGACTGAGTGAAAAAAATACTTAATACGTCTGTATATTTGTGAATTAATGACGTCGTATACACTTATATTACTACCCACGAACAACAGGCACTACAAATAACAATTTTTATACTGGTATTTTTACTACTATTTATATAAAATAATATAAATACAATAAACAATTTGTTAAAATTATAAAATATATGTTTTCATTTTTAGATAAAAATATAAGCTAGTAAATATTTTATATCATTTATAAAAAAAAATAAATGCAAAAAATATTCACAAAAATCACTGTTTCATTTTGCAACATTACACGAGCTATTTGTTGGATGCAGTTATGCCGAGCTTTGTCTTATTGTTCTTGGTAAGAGAGAGACTCGCACTAAACAGGAACAACAAAAGCTAGATTAATAATTAACAATGCTGTCTATAGACTGCTTGTCAACACAGCGCCCCTAGCGGTCACAATTGGAATTAAAATTCACCATACTACAAATATTCTACTTGATAACTAGCGAGGTCAACTCTGTAAACTCGTGGTATCGGTATATGTTTTCGTTATGATGGATTAGTGCTTACTCACACTTGCACACCAATTAAATAGTCGAGTGTCTACTTTAGCTCTTAAAGAACAATACAAAACACAGAACTAATTTTTTAAAAAGCCTTTCCAGTTCTGACCTGATAGTAAATTTCGATAGAATCCTGTAGGCAAAGTAAAAGAACACCGCGAGACAGCGACGAGTTATATGAAGTAGTATATTGTGTTACAGGGTCGTTAAGTATGCAATTAAATATCTTATAATTAACAATTGTTTTTTAGAATTCAATCTTTCTGCTTAGATTTTATGTATGAATGAAAGAAAAAAATCTTTGAATTTATGTATGACTTACAAAATTGCTAAATGAAATAAAGCCGACTAAATTTATATTAGTTTTAACAAATTTAATTTAAAACTGTACTGTTTTTTGGAATTCTGGCACGATGCGGCGGCGGTAAGCAAACCGGTAGATTGCCGATTCTAGTGAAGGCATTGCCGCCCTAGGAACGATGGTAAAAATACCGCATCGATTTGCTGTAATATATTTTTTCCATTAATAAGCATGGAAATACTTATTGGATTTATGCAAATTTATTCGGAATTGAAATCAGACTTTTAATAGAAATCACTGCTTATTATATAAATGTAATTTAACTAACTGTAAGACTTTGTCACTACGTCGCCGTCTTACCTATTTTGTCAGTTCGAAGTCAGAAGTGATCATAACGCGCCACTATCGAAGTATGAAACCATTTTCAAAATGAAAGGTATGCGGTAAAAAAACCGGTCATTCATACGACATAGACCATGCAAATATAGAGACAATGCACATAGGTACTTAAATATCTTACGGCATGCTGACTATCACAATTTATTTTAAACTCTAAACAGATATATTACAGAAGCAAGTTCTATGACAAGGTAATTTTGATTAAAAAGAGTGAAATAAAACTTGATACCTGTACTACTATTTAGGTTTTTGTTTAACTTTTGTGTTCTCTCACGTCATTCTCCAGAAATTATCTTGAAAAAACCAAGCTGGCTCCCGTGTGCTAATTAATGACCTGTACTAAATGATCCAAGTCAAATATCTCGACGAGGTTCAGGGATTACACTGGTATTTTTGTTACGTATCTGTTCATACGTTTATAATTTTATGTAATACCTTTATATGCAAGCACCTAGCGAAGCTTGAAGTATATAGATGTAGCTAAATTGCATTGCGAACGCATGTACGAGGTTTTCATAGGATATTTCTACTATCAATGGCTAAGGCAATAAGCTAGAAGATAACATGTAGGTAATTGAGTATTTATAATAAAACAGCATAAAGCGAATTGCATAAAATGGCCTGTAAGGGCTCAAACTCACTTGACGGCACGCTTCTACACAGCATCTTTATATAAAAGTGCTGAAAAGCTAATAAAGCACATAACACGTGGTATACGAAACCCCAAAACAGCCTTAATAAAAGCTTTGATTAACTTGCATTATCATGGTATATATAACCATGGTACTGTAACCATGCGTTATCATCATTTAATGTTGTGTACACAAAGTTTTGTATTGTACTCACATACACAAACCATTTTTGTGCCGTAATAAGACTAAGGATCGTATTAATAAATCCATCTCCAGTGCTGGATCGACATTAAGATCTTACTTAAGTCAACAGTCTTTATTAATAAGTATAACTTAAGTACATATCAACCATAACGCATTATTTGAAAGCTGACAATAGTTCAACTTATTAATAAACATCACTCAACAGTTATAATGCTAGTCAATAAATTGCAGGATCTTGATAACTTGCAATAGTGTCAGGAAAGAAACCGATGATTATATATAGACTATTACAAGATATTTGATTACATATAAGAGTATTTGAAATTCATATTGAGATCTCAACCGATACGCACTTAATACCTACCGGACTTGGAATCTGTTTACTAATACGGACATAAGCATGGCTTATGTGCAGATATCGCCGTCAAAGAATACGCAGTTTTTTCATAACATGGATTAACTGCTCTGATCAACCAATAAAAATGTTTTCGGTAGGGTAGGTAATTTTTTTTATTACTCAAGTACGGTCACTAGCTAAAATATCTTAGTATTTTTTGTTACACTCTAGAGGTAAACATTAAGAAAAACCGTCAAATTTATTTCACCATCACGTGAAGCACTTATACAACCTTAAGTCTACTACCTTAAGTTCATCTTATGCAGTTCTGTGTAAACCACGGCTCAATAATAACAATGAAACAACATTAAACAGTGTTAACAAAAATAAAGTATACAAATATTGCAACTTCCCAAATTTGTTGATCACTAAGCTATCTACTTATGTTTCAGTACTACGTCGACGCCATGGGGTAATGTTTTAATCATCGTGTAGCACAAAATTTTTTGCACGTGCTTTTAAAACTAAGTTGCATCACAATAAATGCTATTAATCTGAATCTATCGATCCAAATACATAGTGCAGCTAGACGCTGATCCCCTTTAAAAGTTTAAGGCTGTATTTCACTACGAATATTTACACAGTAAGTATCAAAACAATCAACAATTAAAAAACACTAGTTATTAAAATAATAAATTATAAAAATCATTCATAATGATTGTTCTGGTTCGCGCGCAAATTCCCGCGACTGTCGCGGCGGCAGTCCGACCGACACGATCCGTCCGACGTGTTGTCGACACGACTCTCAAGACGCGTCGTGGGGGGCGCAACATGACAGCTACAGCGGGCATCCCTACGCACACAATCACATACATTAGCAGCCAACATCTAAATAAAATCTAAGGAACTCCACACACCGAAGTCCAGGCAGTGCAACGGCGGCACTGATCTCAATTTCCGTTACACCAATCGCATGTCCTTTGTTCGGCATATGAAGCTCCTGAAGACTGATCCCAGAGTCGCAGTAAAACAGTACACGCGAATAGACGATACCAGTTAGTAGTGTGCTTGTAACTCGTGTCTTAAAGATAGATTTCCAAGATAATCACGGGCTATAAAAGTAAACGAGATACTGGAATCAGTCTAATGATGCTTAGTACAAGTAAAAAAAATACGGTGTAGGATGACATTGGAAACTAACATATATTTTTTAAATTAACCACTAAAGCCTAAACACGTATTAATTTATGTAATGAGGAGGTGCAGTGGGCCACTGCTATGGTTAAACTGTCAAGACTTTAACATAGCAAGATTATTTTTTAAATGTGACTTTATACAGTAGCTGCCAATTTGTTATCTCTAATTAAAAGTCCTCTTTTACATAACTACCGTTTGTATAGCTCGAAGTGTGGCTAACTGTACCGCTAAGACTGACAAGGGAAGGCCTAATTTCATTCCAAAAGTTTCTTTCTACCTACATGCATATGGAAAAATTTATGAAAACGGTGTAAAGACTGGCAAATTACTTCGACACCAGCAATTAACACTGTACTAAGTCGATTTTATCGATTATAATGCGAAATTCTAAATTAAGAAAATAATACAAAAAGTAATAATCACAAGTTTATATATAATATATAATAAGTTTATATATAATCTATGATGAATAACTTGTAGTAAAAAAATCATGAATGTATGTTTGAAATTTGGTATGCCGCCGCATTACAATCGCGCAACTGTAGCGCTTCCATAAGCGTCTAGTTTGATGGTGCCCTAAGTTGTCAGCCATTACGGTAATTTTCATCTTCTAATAAAGTGACAGGGTAAAAATTACACATTTAAAAAAAACAAAAATACCAATAATATTTACTAAAAAATAATGAAGAAAATAGGAATTGTAACCATTTTTTATTATCAATGGATTAATATTAGACATAAACCAGTGGGTCATTGGACCTGTACAAAACCCGAAATGTTGTTTTGTTTGAAAAAGCAAATAAACGCGATTTAGATCTTAAAAAATAGTTTCATTTCCTATGTGTAACAATCGCGAAAACCTAAGAACTAGATAATGAAGAAAAAATATATGCATTCACCCCTACAACAACCCATGCTTTAACTAGAAAATAAGCAACAGTTAACTTTGCAAGCAATCTTATTTTTAACCAAGAAATTTATTTAATAAATTTCATATTTATTTATCTTAGTACCAGTATTTATTTATTAAAAAAAATACCAACCTAAACACTAAAGGTGTTCACTCATATAAACGTAAAGCACGCAATAGTCGCATACGTCGGTAACAAGTAAAAACACTGATCATTTAGCATCTCACTTTTAGTTTCTATAAGATTTAAACATTTATTATAGTTTGTACTTAAATATTAATACTATTAATAAATTTTAAAAAATACACTAAAAGCATTTAAATACTATATTTTAAAATTTGCTACGAGGCTACAATACTAATTTCAATGGTTCTAATAGGAGAAATTTTGACTATCACAGAGGGATTTTTTAAAGTACCAATACACCCTTTCATATTTTGAAAAATATTTAGCAAATAATTAGCTAGATATAGTTAGGTTTAGACTGAACAGCTAGCTTTATTTTTTTATATATTATTATCATGTCTTTGCATATAATCAGTCTATTTTTAAGGTTAGTTGAAAACACCTAGTCTAGGATAGTTTTAGGGATTTCTTAACATATAAATTGATAATTTAATTATTTCTAACGTTATAATAACACGTAACGTTGTTGTGCGAACAGGTATATACGTTTTGTTCTCGCTCTTTTGAAATTTATAATTCTACATTGAACACTTATACCTAATTTTAATTTGACAGATTTAAAAAATGTTACTTTTGCCAAGACTTTAGTGTGAAGGCGTGACTCCTAACCACAGAAATGGTTGTTACTGAAACTTTACACTAAAGTTATCGTAAGATATAATATTATGTTGACTATACCACATCCAAAACCAGTTTTCTATTTTAACTAAAGCGTAAGTTACATTTTTAGATCAGTCACATTAATTTAACGTTGTTGTCAGTATGAATTTTATATTAATATATATATAATATATATATATTTTTTTTTTAAGTCATAAGTAGTAATAAATATTCTAAAATTCTCTCTTTGGATTTATAATTGTATGCATAGTATCTAAATCTAACCCTATAGACATGTATATATGTATAGACAGGTCTTATTTTTTAAATGGCACGTACACTTTGAGCTTTAATCATCAAGAAAATCACTTACACCTAAAACTGCACTGTTTTAATACATAAAATTAAAAAAGTCTATTTAATGTCAATATTAAGTCTCCAGTTACATTTTGATACCAAATAGATTCGATTAGATTCTGTAGAACAATTTCTAAATTGCCTTTATAATTATTACAAAAGACGACTAACCTTAGAATGCGACTTAAAAGCATATAATATTTATGTTGTACTTGATAGACACGTTCTGATCGTCGACATCTCCACAGGGAGACACACTGCAACTGCATTCTAGTACACAGGTACTAGAATGCAGTATTCAGTCTGGAACCCACATGTCAGCGCGCAACGTGTGTTTAGTATTCGCGCAGTGTGTTTAGCATTGTCGCATATCACACTTTTTGGAAAGGCTTAAGTTCGACCGAGACTAAAGGCAGGTGATACTGTGGTTTACAACAAAATGGAGGTTGTTAAAATAGCACTAATACATTTCAGAATTGTTAAATTATACTACATGCAAATAAATTGGCACATTAATTTACATATTATTTTGAATATAATTCTAGAATTTTTTTTATAAACATTTAGATTTTTATTTTATTTTATGTTTTTTATATAAAATTTTATTACAGTATACAGAGATTTAATATGTTTAGCTATTTTTTAGTCTAATTTAAATTTATACAGGGTGTCAGAAAAGCAATTTCGAGTATTTTGCGTCAATTCCCGTAAACCTTTCGAAGCTAATGATATTGAAATTATTTGTTAAATGTATTCGCTCCTAGTTTAAAAAAAGCACATTTCCTAACAACCTGGTTGTTGAATCAACACCTAGGAATTAATAAACTAATTATAGTATACATGAATCTAAACAAAATTGACAGTCATAAACTTTCTAAACGGGTTCAGTTGTAAGTCCTACAATTATTAAACAGTCGATATTTTTTGTTCAATATATCTACATATATTTATAAAAGATAATACTTTATTTTTTTTACTTTGTGCAAACAACAAACCTTTTGGCCTGACGGACACCTAGGAATAATTATATAAAAATTATTCCTAGGTAATAATTTTTTTAAATTCCTTTCAAGATCACTTCCCAATTTTCGAAAAACATTTACAAAAGTACTATACATATTTTGGCGTATTTTCATTAATTTTTTATTGTAAGGGTCACACACGCGTCAGGAGTTCAAATAAAGTTAACAGCACTGTACTGCACAGTGGTGTGTGATGTAGACTGAAATACGACCCTTACCTTTTATACCTCTCACAGAATTACAATCAATTTTTAAACCGACTTCAAAAAAGGAGGAGGTTCTCAATTCGACTGTATTTTTTTGTATGTATTTGTAAACCGATTTTCATGATTCCTTTTTGTTGGAAAGAGGGTACCTCCATAGTGGTCCCATTTCATATTGAAAAAAATCATCCACCTCTAAGGGTGGCTGATCACGCATGAACATTCATTTTTATAAGTAGCGCCTATATTTTACAGCAAGAGCAATTATTTTAATGGTTGGTTTTGCTATTCTTCAATTCAAGGCGTTTTGCTCTCTCAATATACTTTGAGTAGTGAGGACCGATTTTTATTATCTCCTGTGTCAAGTCCAGTATAGTGGCGAACTAGGGGATATTTCAATAAAACTTTGCAAACAGATGCAATTCCACGTACTTTTGAGGTCCGTTAATTTAGTACTCTGTAGACTGAGATTATGTCCTCACTATTATGGGACCCGAGATTACCTTAATTCAGAATTTATAAAATTTCGTGATTCCTACGTCAATAAGAAAATTCTTTATATTTTCGTACTTTAACCACAAAAATCTTCGACGACAAGTATACGTTTTAAAAATTACACAATTTTTTATCATGCTCTCACACCATGGATTCTTTTAAACAATAGCCTCAGTGTCACTTATGACATGAATGCCATGTTTGGTTAAAATCAATCGAACAATATCATTGCAACTCCTCGTCTTATAATTTTTACTTTCCTTATCTTTCAATTTAATACTTTTCACTTTATCGCAAAGCTTACTAACTTCAGATTTACTCTTCTTCATTTCCTCAGGCTTCAATTTCCTTATAGTAGAAGAACAACGTTTTTTGTTGCTTGCAGTCTCTGTGTTAAGATTATGTTCAACGTTACCCTCACTAACTCTACGTCTATAAAGGTCATTATCGTAGTCATCCTTCTTCAAATAACATTCTAAAGAACTATACACCGATTCATCGAAACTTACCTTTTCGTCTTTAACAGAATGTTGGATTTCATCACTGACTATTTTGACAGCTTTCCCTGGTACGTAGGTGGATGGTGCTTTACTTAGATACGCAATTTTAGGCTTTAGGTCGATAGGACATACTGAATCTGTATGACTATTTGGCATTAAAAAGTTGGATTTTCGCGGTCTTTTCACTTTTGTAGTTTCGTCTGTAGTGGATGGTTTGTCTCTAATGGAAATGACTATGTTTTTGAAGCTGGTCTCCTCGGGAGAGCGCATAGCGACGTCTTGAGGCGATCGCTTCTCGTAGCTAGAGAGTAATTCGTTAAGTAAATTGTACTCACTGTTTCCGAGGCAGCGTGCAAGAAAGCAGGGTGTTAGTTCATTCACCAGTACTGGATAATATTCAATATTTTTAGTAATAGTAATTCGTTAACGGCAATACACGTTGAAATTTTGAAAATGCACTTCCTGTTATTGTAAAGGATTTCAATATGATTTCCAAAAAAGTTTGTAATTACTATCTCTTTCAAAATTTCAATGTCTATTTAGTAGAATATATATTTGAAATTATTAAAAAGACATTGATAAATAAAAAAACAATAAAATTAATTGTGTAAATATGTAAATAAAATTTTACAATAATTAAAGCGAAAAAATCACAACCAATGCAATAAATAGCGTCCAAAATAAGGGTGAAGGTAACTCACGGTGCACTTTGCGACGAATCCGAACCATATAGCTTGTGTGTTCTTATGTAAGACAGTACTCCATCATCTATTAGATACTTTGCGCTTTCTCCGCGCCGAAACAAGAGTCGAATCGTCGATGAACTTATCTCGTTGAGAATGTAATTAGATACGAGGATTATGTTTCTCTGAAAATTACAACACAGTTATTCTTAACTGCACACAATAGACGCCACACAAGTAAACAAAATCAAAGTAAAATGTCAATATGTTGCTATCGTTTTTATTTTTAATCGTCTTCAAAAAAAGGAGGAGGTTCTTAATTCAACTGTGTTTTTTTTATATGTATGTTACGCGATAACTCCGCCATTTGGGAACCGATTTTGATGATTCTTTTTTTGTTGGAAAGACGGTACCTCAGAAGTGGTCCTATGACTTTTGAGGTCGGTTTTTTTAGTACTCTGTACTGAGGTTAGGTTATTAGCCTTGCCTCTCGCACGCTGCAAATGCGTACCGAAAGCAAAACACGCAATGCTTGCTGAACAGAAAATGGTTGATCATCCTAATTATTTTTCTGTACTTACTCTGTATTTACTAAGTACGTCGGAGTCGTATATAAACTTTCCGGGATCGCTGCCCACTCGCGTAACTACCACTATGCCGTGACGACCAACGATATTCTCTATCTGGAAACACATTAACGTGTATGTAGATGTGCGTATTAACATTGCTAAGGCGCGTACGGGTGACTAACTAATGCTACTAATACAGTTTTTTTTATGTCACCTCTCGCTCTTTCACCAACACACGCAAACCTACACGTGTTATTCACACCTTATTTAAATTCATCTACATCCATCAAATTAATAGTATTTCTACAGGGTTTCTACGAAGTTGATGCCAAACCTCAAGCATCTTATATAAAACTTATAATATATATTTTATTACAAAAGTTATAATAAAAAGTTTATGATTAACACTTTTTCTTGTATAAAATATGCGTTCCCCAGGGTTCTGATATAAATGCGTAGTTATAAGTCGTAGAAAAAACATGTTAGTTTTAATGTCCAAATTAAATGACCACAACAATAATATATGTATACATCAGTCAACCGTGACCATGGGACATGTAAAGGGCCCAAGACGTTGGTTTCTTTGAAAAAAAAAAAAATAAAAAAAATAAAAAAAATACGCGATTCAAATCCGGAAAAATAGTTTCATTTCCTATATGTATACATTTTCATCTTTATAAATTATTATATTTCGAATGTCAAAAACTGTTTTAGCAATTTTTTGTCCTTGACATAACATAAATTTTCACCCTGTATTATCTTGAGTACATTATGAACACAACTGTCAATAAGCAATATACTTACGTCATCGTCACTCCAAAGTCCAGGTTTTGCAAAAGACTCCAGCAAATCACCTCCACACAGCAACTTAACTGTAACTCTTGCATCTCTACAATCGTGTATCTTGTCCATAACGCTATCTCTTTCATCATTGTTGTTCATATTGTTCACATTGAGAACGTCGTCAGGTAACCATGGTGGTGGTTCTGCATTATCTATTTGGTAAATGTGACTGTTTATTGTATCCTGCAATTAGAAATAAGATGAGGGCGAACGCATACCAATCAGTACTGAAGATGTAGCGTGAATAGGTTGAAATTCGGCAAATGTTAAACACAAACATGACAACAAGGAACGGATTATTCGCACCGATTTAAAGTACTTCTGATTTTCTTTTCTTTTGAACAAGTCGTGCGCCTGATGGTAAGCTATACACTTGTCCATAACAATTACAATGCCACTCACAGCTTTAAATTGCAAAGATCTGAGCCCGCCCACCGCGCCCGTCACCCTGAGACATAAGTTAACAAGTCCCATGTGCCTGTATATTCACCAGCACCCTTACCCTTTAAAACCGGAACACAGTAATGCTGACATTACTGCTTGGCGGCAGTAATAGGTAAAGTGGCAGTACTACCCTGGACGAACTCTTTCACAAGGAGCTATACTGCTACTTAAATAAAACGAAATAAGATGTTACAATCGGTGACGCCGAACTTCGGCTGTATAAAAAACGCTACAACTCTATCGACGTTCTTCTAAAGATCATTCGATATTACTTTTTTGCTGTCCTAATAGAGTAGTTGATGTATTGCAGGGAACTCTATTATGCAATCATCCGGTCTATGGTGCGTCCCGCAGACTTCTGGTTAATAGTAAAAACTATGAAGCGTATGGTTTGTATCCCCTATTTAAGTGTAAGTGTCGAAACAGATATACCTGGTGGTACTGCAGTGAGACTCTGGTCCGCGACCATCCGCTCTGCTGTACTTCCCACTCCGACACCTTGATCCACGATGAGGACCGCAGCGCGTGTTTCAGCATCGCCAGTCTGTAGCAAACATAATTTAAAACAAACTGTTAAACAAGTTATAATGTTAGATGAAACATTTAGAATTATTAATTTCTTAGGTTCGCGATTGCTGCACATTTTTTATCTTGTTTTTAATAAGGCTTGTAACACTTGGGAGTCAATGTTGGCCTTCTGAGATAACAGTAGAAGTAGAATAAATATATAAGTCCCTGTGAATTAGAAATATTTTTTTACGACTCGAAAAGCAGACGTGTTTTGATGATTATACCATCTCAATCATGGGTTCCGTAAACAGCACGAAACGTGAGTTGGATTGAAAAAATAAATAATAAACATATCATTTCCATTCCAACGATTAGAATCAACTATCTGTTAAAGTAAAAATAACATTTTTATTGCTGGTCACATCAACAGATGAGGTAAGATCAACGACGACAAAAAAATCACAGAATGTGACCTAGAAGTGGACAAAGAAACCCACGTGATGGGAGAAGGATGTTACAGTGGCCGGAAGAAACTGTAGAACAAAAATCCAAAACTACAGATAATAGATGACTTCAGAGCCGTACATTGTCTAATGATAATGAGTGAAAAAGAAAAATCATTAGTGAATTTTTAAAGATACATAATTACCTTATCAGCACGCTTCAAAATTCTTTTTTTTTATATAGTATCAAGTGACAGGACGCACAAGTCGTGCGTCTGATGGTAAGCTACACGCCTGTTCATAACAGTCACAATGTCACTCTGAGCTTTAAATCGCAAAGGTCTGAGGAGCACTTCCACTGCGCCGGTCACCCTGAGACGTAAGTTGACAAGTCTCATGTGCCTGTAATTTCACAAGCACCCTTACCCTTCACAACCGGAACAACAACCGGAGTTCGTCCAGGAAAGTATTTTCACCTTACCTATTTCTGCCGCAAGCAGTAATGTGAGCATTACTATGTTCCGGTTTTGTAGGGTAAGGGTGTTGGTCATATTACAGGCACATGGTACCTGTCAACTTATAACTCTGTATGACAGGCGGTCAAGGTCACTTGATATTATTTAAAGAAAGTTTGTTAGCACAATTTTAACCTTCAATGTTGAGAGAAAATAAATAAATGATTATCTTCTATTTACTTTTAAGTTCACGTATATGATTACATAAATAATAATCCTATCAGGTAGTTCTTATGTTATAAAACAATTTACAATCATCGACGAGACTTGAATTGTGTTAACAGAGACAAATAATAATGAACTAACTAGATTTTCATATTATAGTAAACATTTAATAGATGATAATTATGTAAAAAAATTCCTCGGAGTAAAATAAGAAAATAACGATATGCCTTATCTTCACTATTTATAAAGGGTGTAATAAAAAGGTGACATCAAACCACATTCAGGGATCGTATTTCTGATAACAAATTCAACAAAAGATAATAATCTTCAAATTTCACAGAAATAACATTTCCACGTCTATTTTTCACAACCTCGAAAGGCCAACGGTTTTTATACTGTGGACGCCCGAGGATGAAGTCCCGGATTCGACTCGTGGTCGGTTCTGGGTGTCGATTCAGAACCTTACGATAACTCAGTTGTCGATCGATTCGACTTGATATCGTACGATTTCTTTTCATTTTTATTCACATCACTCGAATCGACACTCAAACTGACGTATTCGAAACCGAACCGAAATGACGTCACACCCATACGATTACGGATCGTTCTCAGAAAAACCTCAAAAAATGTGACCCTCTATGCATTCTTAGTCAGTGTTATACATAGAAAGACTACTTTACTACGCCACTCTAATAAATAAAAATTAAAAAAGTGGGTAATTTCTCATTTATGGGAGCCGGTTCCACGACTCTCTCATTTTAAGAAATGAAGAAAAAAATTAAACACTCGCGGAAAATGCAATATTTCCCATCGATGATAAACTCTAACAACTTTCACGTCGAATACGTACCGTAACTTCCCAATTTGTTACAAACAAACATGTTTTCTTGGGAATACAAAATGTGTTTAAATTTTTCTTATCATTAGTGTTATTTCAACTAAAAACCTCGTAATAACAAGAGTTCACACCGCATCACCTTCACCCTTCGTAAAGTGAGAAGGGGCTCCTGTCGGATTGGAATATACACAGTGAAGTTACTTGTGCGTCTCCATTTTAGCAAAAGATCGACTTAAATATCAATTTCAGTGCCAGTGACTAAATAGTCATTCATCTAAAGCAATCTATCTAAATAAGTATTAAGTAATAGTCTTATAAAGTTTATTGTGCAACAATTAGACAAAGGGAACTTTAAAATCCACGCACTTTTTTAACGGTCCAGAATATTCTACGACGTTGACAACTAAAAATGTATCCAAATATCATTCTTGTCGCTCTCATTCTTGTCTACTTTTAAGTCAAATAGTTACTTTAAGCCAAACATTTATTTTAAATATGACAATTAGATGGTGATGATGATAATGATGATGGCGGTGATGATGACGATTAATGTGGTGATGGTGACTGTTGATGATGGAATTATGGTGGTGATGATTGTGATGATGGTGATTGTGATGATGATTTGAATGATAATGGTGATCATGATGGTGATGATGATATATTGATATAGATATAATCAAGTTTATATGACATTAACAAAATACTTATTTAGATTTATTTATTACATATATGTAGATGGTCTTACATGGATGAGGATTTTGATACAAGAAGTGATATTAACATATTTGTTACTTGTTAAATGTTCTATTGTGAACGATAAAATGTGTGTTATAATAATAATTTCTCATTACTGTGCCATCTTTTTCATTTATGTTTATGAGAAAATGATTCATGTTACCGCAATCTCATTCGTGTGACCTAAAATATCGTTTTTTGCTGTATTTCACTTAAATTTTCCATTCTTATGTCGTTGATATTCCACCTATTCGCACTAAGCGCTTTGCCTCCTCCTTTCTGATGCGTACGGCAAAGGAATGGAATGCTCTACCGGCATCTGTATTTCCCGAAAAGCACAATTTGGGGCTATTCAAGGCTAGAGTGAATAGGCATTTTTTAGGCAAACGCGTCCCATCGTCGGTCACATCGTCGCTTAACATCAGGTGAGATTGTGGCCAAGCGTGTGTCTATTATATATTTAAAAAAAAATATATATTTCTGTGATTTAATAATTATTGACATTGTTTGAACTTATTTGTACGTTTAAGATCTTAAAACCAAAAGAAAAAAGGGTTTTACAAAAATCACTCAAAAAGTGCCATTGAAATTCGGAAAGTGAAATTCACCCTTACTCGAAGTTCTCGACCGACAAAGGTTACAAGCGTTATTCAGTACACAGTTATCGAATAAAAAGTTACCGAACGTCCTATTGTTCACAAAGCAAAAATGTAATAATGGAAATCTCTTATTATTTTAATTAAAGTCTGGACTTTGTTAAATTTTATTAATTTATTTTAATGCAAGACTAATGCATTCCTATATTTTAGAGCTTTAAAGTCGTAAAAATGTATATAAAAGGAATTTTTCGTTTGTCTTATAATCTTTTTTACCGACTAACTTCATAACCGCTGTTGGATAACGATATCGTATCCGAATCCGAGTCGAACGTTTAACTCGAATGTTCTGTGCTTGGAAAGCGCTCTTCGATTCGAGAACGGTATCCAATCGAACGATTCGGTTAAAATATGGAAGAGTTCCGAATCAGGGTCCTGGTCTGGCTTTCTGAGAATTCCATAGTTAATACACATTATTATTAATTATCATTGTTCATTAAAAAAGTAATTAATTGTCGTTAGCTTGCGTTTTTAGACAAGATAATTTACGAATGTTATACATTCTTGTTTACTCTCATGTTATCATATAATATACAAAATAATAATGTCATTATTATCTCCCGAAATGTACACAAATGTACAAGTATAAGCAAATGTTCGTACATAGAACTTAGATATATGTATGTACTCAGGGGATCAATCCTGTGTCGTAAAACTGTTGCCCCAGGTGGAAATCAATGCTGTCACTGAACGAAAAACTTAAGTTTCGGAAAATGGAGTTTAAAATTTATGAAAATATAATTCAATTTGAAAACGCGAGATTTTCGTTTAATGAAGATATTTGTTTTGATCGTGTGATATAATACCAACAGAATCTAAACCGATGTCTACTTTATACATTTTCGCGATTGCTTTACATTGGAAGTAAATATTTTTCGTATCTAAATAAGTAAGAATATTGTATTTTTTTGTGTCACGGCTGATGAGATGATATTAACCATCAAACTGTTGTCTAGTTAATGCAAACCACCCATTATTTATAAATATAGTTCAGAATATTAAACAACAAATTCAACTACTCTACCAGCTGGATATTTCCAGTAATAAGTAACACATAAAAAAGAGCGCATGGTGCATTTTTTACGCACAGACAACACAGAAAAGAAGACTGTTGCATTTGTACGGACTACAAAACTTTACAAACGTGGGCGAGAAGCACATTTGTAGTGCTCATGCCATTGCGCCGCTCTGCCTCCCGCAGCCGTCTGTATTGCCAATGTGCACGCTTTTCACCAACGTGCATTCACGGCATAGTATAATAAAACAAGTATGGTAACTTACACTTAGTAACATACAACATGCATAGTAGCTCAGGTTGTATTATATATATTTGCACACATTCACATAATCTCACGATACACTTGCGTTGCATAACAGTGTAGGGCTAGCACAACAGTGCGCGATTTGCGCGAGAGCTATATAAAGCGCGAGATACTGCTATTCTCGCACATAGATCCCGTGCTATACGTCGCTTTCGCGCAAGTTTGTAAACGGCGCGCAAGTTTGTAAACGGCGCGCCACTGTCGCGCTGTTACTTTGCACGGAGTTACCATATTATTTTCTTATTTTATTATGTTCACGGCGCCATTGAATTTGCGAACGTGTGCAAAGGTTTACTAGCTACGACTGAATTGCGTTAACGCGTGTAAAAATAGGTCGTGTACATAGGCTCACAAAACTCATATTTGCAGTGGGAGTAATATTTATTAAAAATTTTCTTACCTATGAGTTGAATTAGCCAAGTCTTTTTTGCCATAAGCATCATGTACTGGTGATACAATGCCTCCCACAACTGTGCCCAGACCCATAGCTTGAATGGAATCTCTTGCTATTTCTGAAAGAAGATAATTTAAATTTAAATTAATATATTAAGTTTCTTTCAACGACAACTTAAGACTCAAAACTTGGACTTCTACGGACTTGCTGAAGTTGAATCTATAACTCGTTTTTCGATATCCCATCAACATCAGAGTTAATAAGGATTACAACTAATAAGGCAGATTTGCCTTTGTCCAAAAATCAAACTTGGCCTATTGTTTTATACAAAGATTATTTACGTATAGATACATGGCATTAAGGATACAACATTATTACTACTACATAGGAAATATACTTAGGCATACTCCGTCCAACCATTTATTTAACTTTTAACAGCTCCAATTCTAATGGTGTCCTAATGAGTTGTCAATCCGAATTTTTATAACAATTGATTTTATTTATGAAGTTTGAATTGTGACCATTCACGAAAGGAGACTTTTGGTCTGGTAAGAAAGATATTGTCTGATTGTATCGTGATGTTGCATTTGACAATTTGTGTACTCAAGAATTTATAATAGTTAATGTTAATGAGGATTCAAATGATTATTCCTGTTCATATGGAGAAGAATCTGACGATTCATTAAAATAAACAATAATAATTTATTATAATTATTTATAATTTATTTAATATCATTATAATTTATTAGATAGGTACCAAAATTTATCAACTTGAATGATCTTCGTTACATAATCTGTTGGCTCGATAAATATCGGATCTAAAGAGCACGTTGCTTCAATAAAATTAAAAAAAAAAAAAAGAGTCCAGGAAGTATTGCATAACTTTGTCTATGCTTGTATGTCAATAAATACATATGCATGCCTTTTTTTTTTTTTTTTTTTTTATACCTGACAGGCAAATGACTCCACTCCACCTGATGTTAAGTGGAAAGTGGTATCCAAACGCGAAGGAACCTAGTGCAGCGATGGAATCCTCACTGCACTAGCCGCCTCCACCCTGCCTGCCTACAATATGCCTCTTCACGCCTCGTTTGAAGGACCCCATATCATAAGAGGGAGGGAAGACATGTGCCGGAAGGGAGTTCCATTTGTCAACCGTGCGGCAGAGAAAGGAGCCACCGAACCTTTTAGTACGCGATGGAATGCGGCAGGTAGTGAAACGGTGACTACGAAGGCCAGCACGCGTGCTTCTGAGCAGGAACGGGGAAGGGGGGATGAGGTTGAACAGCTCCTCAGAGCACTCACCATGGTACATGCGGTAAAAGGCGCTAAGCGATGCAACATCTCTACGCAGTTGCAGAGGTGCAAGGCGTGATGAGACCTCTTCGTCGCCTATAATTCTAGTAGCACGACGCTGTAATTTATCCAAGACATCGAGTAGGTACTTGGCGGAGCCGTCCCACAAGTGCGAACAATACTCAACGCAAGACCGGACCTGTGTTTTGTACAGCAGGCATAACTGGTCCGGCGTGAAAAAACGTCGCACCTTGTTCAGGACTCCGAGTTTCCGTGAGGCTGTTTTGATCACAGATTCGATGTAGCTCCTTGGATTCAAATCACAGCAGATTTCCATACCGAGCAAGGTGAAACTGCTCTGAGGTGAAAGTGCTGTGCTCATCAGAGAAGGCATGGGAAGGAACGGCGACAATTTTGTTGTTAACGCGCAAACCTGTGTTTTCTTGGCGTTGAACTCAACAAGATTACTGGATCCCCATGCAGATATGAGGTCCAATATCCTATTGGGCTCAACGACAAGATCAGATCGCTCTCTGTCAGTATCGGCGCGCCCAGCTGCGGGGAATCCATGATATCCCCCATGAACAGTGCTATCATCTGCATAACAATGAATATTCCCAAGTGGAAGCATATCATTGATATGCAGAAGGAAAAGCGTGGGAGATAGGACGGATCCCTGCGGTACGCCGGCGTTCACATTCACGAACCTCGAAATGCTGCCGTCAGAAACGACGCGAATTCTCCGCTCACGAAGGAAATCGGCAATCCAGCTGCATAACTGGGCTGGCAAACCGTACGCCGGGAGCTCGGAGAGAAGAGCTTTGTGCCAGACCCGATCGAACGCTTTGGCTATATCGAGGCTAACAGCCAACGATTCGCCACGTTTGTCTATAGCCTCACCCCAAATATGCGATAAGTACGCTAGAAGGTCACCCGTTGATCGTTTCGGACGAAACCCATACTGCCGATCATTAATTATGGAGTGATCTTCTAGGTATTGGGTCAGTTGTTTATTAAGGATCCGCTCTAAAAACCTGCATATTATGGAAGTAATGGCTATGGGACGGTAATTATGCGGGTCTGATCGGTCGCCTTTTTTGGGAACTGGTTGCACATTAGCCTCTCTCCAAGAGTCCGGCACACGACCTGAAGAGAGCGACAGACGATACAGTCGCGTTAGCACGGGAGTCAACTCAGCTGCGCAATTCCTAAGTACAATCGCTGGGATACCATCAGGACCACTAGCTTTCCGGACGTCGAGAGACTGTAGCTGCGTACGCACATCGCATTGTCTGATACGAATATCACACATCGTGTAGCCACAGTGAGGTAGAGTTGGTGGCTGTGCGTTACAGTCGTCGAGACAGGAGTTAGCCGCAAACAAATTTGCCAAGAGGTCGGCTTTATCTTGCGGCTTGTGGGCTAGATTGCCGTCAGAATATCTCAGCGGTGGCAGCGAGGGCTGGCAGAAGTTCGACGCAACGGCTCTGGCCAGACGCCAGTAGCTACGACTACCTGTGGGATGCGTCAAGAGTTCTTGGCCAACTCGTGCGACGCGCTGAGCATCCGCTCTGATGTACGCTCTTTTGCAAGACCTGGTGGCATTATTGTAGGCTGTTTTAAGTGAGTTCGTATTGGGATCGTCTGAAGCTAGACCCCTGATCCAAGCGCGGTATGCAGTCTGTTTGTTCTCAACAGCCACAGCACACTCGCGGTTGAACCAGCGGTTGCGCCTCCTTTTACTGACGAGATCCGAATGCGGGATGTAGTATTCTATCCCGATTAAGATCTCATCAGCAACGGCAGTCGCGCTAGCTGTTGGATCCACCTCACTAAAACAGCGCTGCCGCCAGGGAACGGATGCAAAATAGTCCCGCATACCGTCCCAATCTGCCGACGCATAATGCCAAATGCGGCGTTTAGCCACAGTAGGTGGTGGTGGCAGTAACGTTGCCACTTTAGTGGATATCAAGCAGTGATCCGAAGTGCCCAGAGGGGCTTGGACCACCACCCGATATCCAGCCGGGCGAGACGTCAGCAGAAGGTCCAACAAAGAGGGCGCGTCACCAACCCTATCTGGAATCCGGGTGGGCTGATTCACCAGTTGGGTTAAATCGTGTGTGAGAGCGAATGTGTGGGCAGTTCTTCCAGCATGGTCAGTTTTAGAGGAACTTAACCACGACTCGTGGTGAGCATTGAAGTCCCCTAAAAACACCAATTCCGCTGTAGGAAACTGCGCCTGCGCGTCATCTGCCGCCTGAGTAAGGTGGTCCATGAGACGAGTTGTCTCCATGTCGCCGTGGTGGGATCTGTAGAGGCACATGTAGACACGGCAATGACTGCCCAGGTCAACATGTACCCCAAGGATGGAGAAGGAGGGGTCCTCCAAATGACGCAGACGGCGACAGCAAACATCTGCCCGGACAAACAAGCAGACCCCAGCTTTCGCTTTGAAGGACTCTTCAAGCATATAGCCAGGGTAATTCAAGAAGCTGCTGTCAGCCGGGCAGAGTATTTGCGTCTCCGTAAGGAACAGCATTTCTGGTCGAGCCGTCTCAATATGTTGATGGACGGCGTGGATGTTACTGTGGAGTCCTCGAATGTTCGTGAACTCCACCTTAAAGAGCGCTTTAGTGGTGGGGGTGTGCACCGCTGTACGACCGAAATTTGTACTTTGCGCTAACATGTTGGAGGGAAAAAGAGGCGTGAAGCGAGAAAACAGTGCCGCGACACAAGCGGTCAAATCGCGGGGCCTGCTTCCCCAGAGACTTGCCTACAGACAAGTTGCGCTGATCCGCCGGACGGAAGGGCCCCCGAACCCCCCCGGGAATGGCCGCCGGGACCCCACCTCCCGGTTACCAACCGGCACGACGAACCACACCGAGATTATGCGCGGCATGGTGAGGCAGCCTCACGAGCTGGTTAAGCACGCTTGGGCCCCTGTACTGTACCGCGGGCGGCCAGCGGAACAACCGTTTCTACGGGTCTCCCTGGCCGGCGGGTCAATGCAGTTGTCCTGGCACTGGTTCGGCGGAAGCCTCCACAGACCACAAATGTCGCGGCAGCGTTCCCTCGGGCTCTGGTTGTACGCTGACTGATCCCGGAACGCATCCGACTAGCGAATACTTGGCGGGTTTTCCATCATGCGCACGGTGGTCACTAACCAGGCGGGTTTTCAAGCCCTACCACCAGTGGAGCAGCTGGTTGCTCAATATCCCTTAGTCGCCTCTTACGACACCCACGGGAAGAGAGGGGCGGTGAATTGTATTCTAATCCGTCACCGCACGGTTAACAATCCGAAGTTCCATATTCAAAAAAAAGTAAATGGTTGGACGGAGTATAATATTTTACAATATACATATAGAAGATTAGACAATATATGTATAGATAATAGACTTGTAGTACTATAATGCATAAATACCAATATTGTGCTTTCCATTTTTTGTTGCAAACTATCATGTATTGTGGAGACTGCTGTGATTTTATGGAATTATAAATGATTCTTTGTTCTATTCTATTCATTCTAGTTTTGTATTACCTACTTATTAACAAATTAGCTGGATCTATAGGATAATAAGTACACATGGCCTCGCTAACACTACTTTTGGATATTGCTAAATATTATGCAAAGCTTATAGGTATAATAACATTAATATAGAATGTGACAACACATCAATGATACAATATGCATATTCAATTTTCAACAAAATTCTGAACATAATGGAAATACATTTTATGTTCCACAACCATTGTTCTTTTTCCTTGATTTATTTTCTAAATAAATAAATTCAACATTCAGGTGCGGGTAATCAATATTTCATGCCATGTAAATATATTTATAACATATTTATGTGGTATTAAATAAACGAAATAGTATACTAAATATCATTGAGAATATAATTAGAAATAGAGACGAAATGTCATTTAGTTTGTTTGAAAACTATTCTGCCTAATCATTACTGTGACAACTGCACTCCGATTGGCCAGCCCAAATTCGAAACAACGTCAATTATTTCTGTTCAAATCAACTAGTTTAACTTGAACTTTGCTATAATTGACGAAAACGGGAAAATTACATATTTAATGTTTAATTACCAATGAAATGTGATACCGTTTGTTTTGTAATTATATTTTTGCTGTTTTTCCCACACCACCAAATGGAACAGCCCCCATTGTTAGAGATATTATCTTTATTACAATACATACAGAATATTTTTGCAATATATGAAGACGTACACACAGGTTGGTGTTGTAGCTGAACTATTTCAGTTTACTAAATTTGTGATTTCAGTGAGATCGAAAGTTGTTATTAAAAAGTGATATAAGGCCCATTTACCTGATGAGTTGCCAGGGATGGAAGGCCCTTACTTCGTCTCTATTTCTGGTCATGTACTCAATGTCAAATATATATTAATTTGTTATTATTTAACAAATAGCACTTACAATAATAACAATTTTAAGTATCTAGCAAAAACCTGGTTTCGATATTTTGTAGCAATGACAATTCCCAAAATAAATGTATATTAAATTAAAAACCAATTGTCGTCACAAAGGTCGGGAAATGGTGTGTCAAAGAAGTTATTTAAATTTAAATAGGTAGGTGAGCAAAAAATTATGTAAAAGTTGGCGAAAATACTGTCACAAAGCGCATTTCAGAGTTAGTCAAATACTTACCAAACATTCGCATGTGCATGTATGTCGGAGGGCTGAAACTGCCACAGGCCATAAGTACGATCTTTCCGTGAGACATTTTTTATACGTCCATCAAGTGCAATAAAGTTAATACAATCAACATCACTACTTAACCACAACAATAATACTGATTATTACCGAATTCAGGTAATCGATTTTAATACTCTTCTAATTGCAAATGACTAGCAAACGACTATATGTTTATATGCAATTTTAGGTAATATGTAGCCTCTTTAAGTTCGCCGACTTATACAATGATCAATGACAGTATATTTTTTCCATAAATCACGTAATGGTTTTAGATTATACAGCCAAATTGCTACATGATGATTCGTAAATTTACGTAGACCGAAACGTTGATATTAAGCGACATACTTTAAAACGTGTCATACAGAGCAGAAAACTATCAACCATGTTGTGCTTTCACATTTGGACGGATTTATCGAAATGACGTCTTATTGACATAATTTGCTTACGTTCCAGTAAGTTTGAAACGTTGGAGTAATTTATCTTCTATCTCTCATATTCTTTGAATGTTAGGTTATATGTTTATCTCTGTCTACTATACATAAACAACTACAAAAACACTTCCTCAAACAACATGAAGTGACTTTTGTAGTGGAATTTTGTTACGAAATAAATGGAAAAGAAGCATCAGCGCTCGTAATTTCAGTTATTTGCTACGTATCAGTCGCAGGAGATAAGCGGCGACATCGACTGAAAATATTTACCTATGTAGCTTACATAAAACTTGAAATAATAATCGTCACTATTCGGAGTTTTTTTCCAAAAAAATGAGGCTAACTCTGCGTTTGCTATCATCTGTAGTGCAAAGGAGGCCTTTTTACGTGACTACGCCAATATTTTACGTAAATGCCGGTGAGTACAATAACTGTTATCAGTCATATAAATTTTGACTTTAGTGAAAAGCAATTAAAACCTATTTTGATTATTTGTTTAGCGCCTCATCTTGGCCATCTGTATTCTGCGGTGGTCGCCGATACAATCCAAAGATTTGAGAAGCTAGTTGACCCAGATTGTGAAGTTATTTTTAGCACAGGTAAATAAACATTTACTTTTTCATTTTCTGTCATTTAACCACTAATCACCTCCTATTTTGATGTCTTTAAATCTGAAGAAATGAACAACCATATAAAATTATTTTTCTAAGAGCCATTTGCACAGTTCTTTTTTAAAACTGATCAAAGGAAGTGATTTAATACAAAGTGATTTCATGACTGGAAAAGTTGATAGTCCAATTTCTACCAAAAGGTGTGTAATATAATATAAAGTATAGTATAACATTATCGTAAACAAAGCCTGGTTTCTAGATAGAATCCCCTCAATATATTATTTATTCATTAATTATCTAGAAATCTTATCTATTTAATATTTGCACATCTCCTATTGCATATACATGTTGTAAAAATAAATTAATTTAAGCCAAAAGCTGGCAAAATTTATTCGTTTACATTGTGTTCAGTTTAATGCATGTGTGTTGCTACAGAGGTCGGTTGGTATATTCTGAATTTTGTTATAAGGATGGGTTGAGAACAAAACTTGCTACAAAACAATAACAAAAAGACATCTATTATACCCATTGTTCACCGTTACTAAACAAATTACGGATTCTGCCATTTTGAAGCCTCTTTTGTACTCAAATAAAAATTGATTGATAGGTAGGTATATTTTTAGAAATGTACATAACGCGAAAATAACTCCTTTATCATGTATATCACGTAAATAGTTTAATTTTATCTTTATATTGTCGCTGTAATCTTTGTCTAAAATTGGTACTCACTCTTGTTTTTGGGTGTAAAATTTTAAAAAAGTTTGTCAATGTCAAGGGTATTAATAAGTGTGGAAAATAAAGCAGTCTGTAATGGAAAATGCTATGGATATGTAAATTAAAGAACAAATTGTATTTTAGGGACAGACGAGCATGGAACCAAGATCCAGCAAGCTGCAGCCAATGCCGTCCTGTCACCGGCAGAGTACTGCTCCAAGATATCTGCAGAATATAGAGATCTCTTTAAAGATTATGATGTGGAGTACACGGATTACATCAGAACCACTGAGGACAGGCACAAAAGAGCTGTTAGACATTTTTGGGTGAGATCATCTATAATCATCATGTTTTTCAGATTTTTGGTACAGCAGTGAAAACTAATCTTGATTGTATTCAAACTGAACAAAAGAAACTGATTAAGGTACTTTTTAATTATGATTACTTAACATCAACAAATAAAATATACAAAGTTACTAAGTTATTGAATATTAGGCAAATATACAAATATCAAACTTGCGCGTTAATTCATAAAATATTATAATAAAAGTAGACATACTGTGATAACTTTTAGCTAAACAATTGCCAAAATTAAGACCATGACTTTACATAGAACTTAAGATAGGCCCTGCATGTACAAATTACGGAAAATTATGTTTGTTATAGTCATCACCAAATAAGAGGCCAAATTTGACACTTGTCATCGTGACGCGAATAGGGATGTGGGCTAATCATATCGGTAATTGCATTTCGATTACGATTTTCACGAGAAATCCATTAAAAATTTATGTAATATGAGAGTTTGTGGTTGTTTAGATTATTTTTCGGTTCAATGTTGTTCAGGGGGTCCAAAAAGGCCAAATCTTGCAATTCTGTTAAAAGCAATTTATTTGAAGAATTCCTTGCAATTCTGTAGCAATTCCTCTTATTTTCGTAAAATTGTCCCGCAAATTCTGATGAATTGTATCCAATTCTTTTAATTTTGATTTTATAATATCCATAAATGGTTTATTACAAGAATTAGTGTAGATAAGTTTGTTAATCGATAAAAACTACATAAAAAGATTGAATTACCAAGAAACAAAGGACTTCATAAATTTTCAATTACTTGGCTGGCAATAAGTAAGAAGTTGTCAATGTCAACAACAAACAATTATAATTTGAGGTGGTATTTATCCTCCTTAAAAAAAAGGAAAAACAAACTAGCTATGAGTACGGGGCTCTTTTAAATTTGATAAATTATAAATTTATTTGCAATAGGTGTGGTTAGAGATGTAATGTACATAATTATTTAAAATACACCTATTTTAATACATTTTCGTTTTAATATTTAATAAGTCAATATTTTTTCCGAGAAATCTAAGTAACTCGGTGAAATTCGGCGATTAATTGCTTACAACACTATTATTAAAAAGAAATAGCTTGAGGACTTAACTGTTTTCAGGACGTTTCGGAGTAACTCAAAATTGCATTGGAATTCCTGCGAAAACAGTACTTCAAATATATTTTGTCATATTATATAATGTTTCAATAAAATTTATGTATTTTTTTAAACGCATAATGCTCACTCATATGCTAATAATTGTTTGTTTATTATTTCGTTGATCGCATTCAAAGTTACATACTATCGCCTTCTTTAGCTGTCAAATTTGGCCTCTTATTTGGTGACGACTATAAATTAAGGTGGCACTGTTTATAACAAATTACCAAAAGACATAAGAGAATCAAAAACAATAACGACTTTTAAATGATTGCTTAAAACATACTTGTTGAAAACTTCCTAAATTAAAAATATTAAAAAAATTATAATTAAATTGTAATAAATAGTTATACTCCTATATGAGGTCTTGCTTTCTGATGAAGAGCAATACCTCTCGTGGGAGTAGTGACAGATAAAGTAGGATAATTATTTATATGTATACGTACATTACGAGGCCGACATAAACGCCCAAACGTTCCTCTTAAAGCTAAATTTAAAAAAAAAGATAAAATATGTTATCTTTAGAAATACATACCAAAGTCTCGTTCTAATTAAACTACTTGCATGTCGCTTCTAGCTTTGCCTATTCTATCTCTCTTTGTTAATTTAGTATATATACCACCATTATTAAGTGACAGGACGAACAAGTCGTGCGCCTGATGGTAAGCTACACGCCTGTCCATGACAGTTGCAATGCTACTCAGAGCTTTAAATCGCATAGATCTGAGGTGCACCGCTGCACTCGTCACCCTGAGACATAAGTTGAAAAGTCCCATGTGCCTGTAATTTCACCAGTACCCTTACCTTTCAAAACCGGAAGTGCTTTACGTTACAAATACAAAGGAAATGAGCACAGACATATATCTAGATAGACGCCGCAAGTACAGCAATTACTTTGAAAACCAAGCGTGCCACATTTTTTGTACCCACTATGACGTCACAAGAAAAATTTAGCGATGGAAACCTCCTTCCGCTCGCCTAAATCGATTGATTGAACGGAATACGCATAAACACGGAATGCCATTCAATTAATCGATTCTAAATATAATAATTGATGACCTCTTGGATTATGTTGCTTTGTTCATGGTTTGTATTTTATTTCTACGGCGAGTGCTGATGGTTCGGTGTTGTTTTAGCTATAGTTTGTACTTTGATTGTTATATATTATTACTGATAGATATAGTTATTTTATTTAATATTATATTTTATTTTGTGTTAATTAATTTAACATAATAATATGGATGTTACTTTCGAGATAATTGATAGTTTTTACTCGTGCTCCTTATCTCTAAGCCATTTTCTTAGTGCTGATGACAGTAATGATTCCATAGCTTTGACTCTGCATGATCAGTTATCTTCAGCCTTCTGCAATTTCCCCAAAAATTTCAATTTGGTTCATATCAATGCTCAGAGCGTCCCCTCTCACTGTTCTGACCTTCTTGCTTCTGTTATAGATTCTCCTGTTGACGCTTTTCTTATATCAGAAACTTTTCTAGAACCTTCTCTTCTTTCGACTCATTTCAGTCTTCCTGTGTTCAAGCTCGCTCGGAATGACCGGACGGGTAAAAGTGGTGAAGGGGTGACTGTATATCTGCGAGCTGATATTCAATAGTTGTTGTTGATGCTTCTCCTAGTATATATTCAAACTCCGCGGATCACCTATTTTTAAACATTTCCTTGCATCACAAGAAAGTGCTCCTTGCAGTTTTTTATAGCCCCTCCCTTAATATCGACTACTTTCAATCCCCTTGAGTGTCTACTCTCCAACTATTCTCCTTCCTTTGATCACACTATTTTAATGGGTGATTTTAACACGTGTTTGCTAAAAAATGGCACTCGTGCCCATAAATTACTTTCTCTAATTTCTTCTGTCAACTTGCATATTTTACCCTTATCTGCTACTCATCATTTTCCCAACTGTATTCCATCTCTTCTTGATCTTATGATAGTCTCATCCCCTGTGGATTGTGCTTCCCATGGACAATTCTCTTCTGTATTTTCTTATCATGATCTTGTCTTTTTCTCATATAAAATTTATTTTTCCTAAGTGTAAGTCGAAATTTCGTATTCTCCGAAATTTCAAGGCCATTGATTTGGAGGCGCTCAAGAGTGAGGCGGGTAATATTGACTGGACTTCTGTGTTAGACTGCGTAGTTATTAATCAGAAGGTAGCTTTGCTCAATGAAGTTATATTAAGGCTATATGATCGTCATGCGCCTTGAAAACGGGTTTGAAACTGCCCTGTATATCACAAGATATTAAGATCGCCATGGCTCTCAGAGATAAGGCGAAACGACACTGGAAGAGGCTTCCTACAGATGACAACCTAACTCGCTTTAAATATCTGCGTAATCGCTATAGTCGCTTGTGTAGAGATGCTAAGAGACGGCACGTTCACGATAACGTTGAGAAATGCGATTCCACTCAGATCTGGAAATTCCTAAAGTCCATTGGGATTGGTCGTGCCACTGTTTCGGGTAGTGATTCGTCTCTTTCTGATCTTAACGCGCTTAATAGACATTTATCCCTACCCCCGGTTACTTTGGATAAGCATCGTAAAAGCGCTACCCTTCGCATTTTGGCTGACTATACTTTATACTATACCTTTTTCTCCTTTCGGACTGGTACCGAATGTGAGGTGAAAACTCATATTCTCTCTATTTATTCTACTGCTGTTGGCAATGATGATCTCAGTTCCCGTATGATTAGCCTCATACTCCCTGAACTTGTCCCTATCCTTACTCATGATTTTAACTTCTCTTTAGGAGCTAGTTCTTTCCCTTGTCAATGGAAACTCGCCCATGTTATACCTTTACCCAAAACGTCCAACACTACTTGCCTTTTCGAATTCCGTCCCATCTCCATTCTCCCATTTCTACCCAAAGTTTTCGAACACATTGTCAACAAGCAATTAATTCCCCGTTTCAGTCAGGTTTTCGTTCTGGCCATAGCACTGTGACTGCACTGTTCAAGGTAACAGATGATATTCGCCTCGCAATGGACAATGGTCTTTTCACTTTGCTTATACTTCTGGACTTCAGCAGTGCGATCAACTCTTTGATGTATTGGTTGCTTCTCTTCGCTCTTTTAATATTTCTCCTTCGGTTATAGCTTGGTTCCACTTCTACCTTAGAGGCCGCTTGCAGTGTATTCACTTTGATGAGGCTTCTTCTGATTGGTGTCTTAGCTGCGGGCGTTCCTCGGGGTGGTGTTCTTTCCCCTCTCCTCTTCTCTGTTTTCTTTAACTCTGTCACTTATGTGCTGTCTTCAAACTTTCATCTCTATGCTAACTATATGCTGATTTACGAAGCATCGCTCATTGGGCTGAGTCTTTTGGTTTCTTGGTGAATCCCAAAAAGTCGCAGGCTGTGATTGTGGGAAGTGGGCATACATATGCGTGGCATATTGGATCTAGATTCTGTCCCACTGTATACTTCTACTGCAACGAATCTTGGCTCGCTTTTAGATTGTAATTTGGTTTCGTAGCAGCGGCAACTAAGTGAATTTTACTTATTTTGGGCACGCGAAGTACGTACACTTGCGGCGTCTATCTAGATATATGTCTGTGGAAATAAGTGTCTATTATTATTATTAGGGTGGCTTCATTGGGGGCATATGTAGCCCCTCATCACTGCGACCATCAGTTGATCTATTGTGATCACCACCAATTATAGTTCGGAGCCAAGGCCGACAGCATTGAAGAACTGAAGGACTTTCCTGGCTCCGGAAGAGTTAATGTCCTCTGGTTGTGGCATGTGCCTTCACAGTATGGAGCTTTGTACACCCATCAGGGGGTAACATTGGACGAGAAGATGAGCAGGAGTTTCGTCTGCCTCGTGGCAGAAT